CACGCAACACTTGGGCTGGATTGAAAATTAGGCTGCGGTTTTGCGGCCTTATGGAGCGGGGTCTGGCACCTGCCTTCTTGCTTGAATGCATTGCCAATGTTTACTGCCTACTCCGCCTGGGAACTGGCATCTTTTGACGTGGTTGGCAGGGCTATTTGACCTTCGCTCCTAATGTCCACCCTCTAGCAAGACATTCCACTGCATTCTGTATGGGGCTCAGGGGGTGGATGTACAGTCAATTGAAAGTATTCATACCCCTTGAAATGTTCCACATTTTGTCTTGTTACAACCAAAAACATAGATGTATTTTATCGGGATTTTATGTGATAGACCAACACAAAGTGGCACATAATTGTGAAGTGGAAGGAAAATGATAAATGATTTTCAATTTTTTTTACAAATAAATATGTGAAAAGTGTGGGGTGCATTTGTATTCATCCCCCGAGTCAATACTCTGTAGGACCACCTTTCTCTGCAATTACAGCTGCAAGTCTTTTTGGGTATATCTCTACCAGCTTTGCACATCTAGAGAGTGAAATTTTTTCCCATTCTTCTTTGCAGAATAGCTCAAGCTGTGTCAGATTGGATGGAGAGCGTCTGTGAACAGCAATTTTCAAGTCTTGCCACAGCTTCTTAATTTGAGTTAGGTCTGGACTTTGGGCCATTCTAACACATGAATATGCTTTGATCTAAACCATTCCATTGTAGCTGTTGTATGTTCAGGGTCATTGTCCTTCTGGAAGGTGAACCTCCGCCCCAGTCTCAAGTCTTTTGCAGACAGGTTTTCTTCTAAGATTGCCCTGTATTTGGCTCCAACCATCCTTCTGTGCTCTCCATCTCGATGGTGGTGGTGTTTCGGCAAGTTCCTTGGTTCACATGTTGGGCTGTGGATTGTGGACGTCAACAGTTGTCCTAGCAGATTTTACTCTCCAGGGAGGGTATCTTTTTTGCGTACATCATCAGGCGTCTTACTGGTGAGGAAAGTACCTTCTCTTAAAAGGAGAGAGAACCAGACCATGAGCATGGTGCTTCCTTCTCTGCACACACAAGTATTTTTTTGTTCCCTTTAGCCCTTCGGACACAGGATTCGTGCCCTCCAATGGACTTTCCTGCTCTCTGAAGAATGGGTCCGTAAAAATATATTTTTGTTCTTGTCTGCCAGACCATCTTCCCTGCTGAATTTGACACATTTTGGTCAGTCTATGGTCAGCTTAACCACTTGCTTGACTTTGAGTGGTTTTACCAGGATGAAGCAGGCATGATCCCAGCTTTCTTGTAAAAGCAATCCTAGCAGCTAATAAGCTCCCACTGCTGCCACCTTCTGTGGCTTTTTCAGGCTTTTCTGTCCAAGTGTTCAGCCGATGCTTCTGCCGGCTGACCAAAGAGCTGTTTGGAGACCAGACTTGCTCCGATCATCTCTATGGTCTCAGAAACTGGAAGCAATGAGCATTCATCACTTCGGGTTTCTCCGGATGTAAACGGCGCCATTTTTAAATTGATCTGATCACACCAAAATTGGAGAAAAGATGGGAACATGTGAAGGACAGAGGAGAGATCTGGGGTCTCCTAGTCCCTAGATTTCTTAGTAAAGAGTACCTGTCACTGCCTATTGCTATTACAAAAGTGATCAAAACAAAATTAAGACAGTGTAAAAATAAATAATAGAAAAAATTAAAGCACCCCTGTCCAAACACACGTCCTGGCCCCACACACATACGTAAACCATAATCACACCACACGTGAGGTATCGCCATGAACGTTAAATTAAGAGCAGTAGTTCTAGCACAAGACCTCCTGTGTAAACTGTAAAGGCTTTTAAAGTGTCGCCTATGGATAATAAACTTAACATAGTTTGTTGCTATTACACGGCATGTGCAATTTTAAAGTGTCACATGTTTTGGTATCTATTTACTCAGTGTAACATATTTTTTTTATATTTTACCAAATAATTGGGTATTGTGCTTTTGTGCATTAGGATTTAAAGTGTACTTTTTTTCCCCAAAAAATTGTTTGAAAATCTGCTGTGCAAATACTGTATGGCAAATGGCAGCAACCACCATTTTATTTTCTAAGGCCTCTGGTTTAAAATAAATATATTATGTTTGGGTATTCTAGATAATTTTCTAGCAAAAAATACTTATTTTTCAAAAAGTGTCAGAAAAGGTATGGCACATAATTTTTTATTTTCTTGGAGTCGATTGAAAGACACTGGTCCCAACCATCTATATTTGTGATAATACTCTCCGGTACTGCTTTGCTGCAAAAGTAAGGCATGCTGGTAGTAGGAAGAATTATCATGGGCAGGCCTATAGTTTGTTTTTACACAAAAATCTGTGTTGAACTTATCAGGAACCCGTATGCGTCAAAATCGTAGTACCAGATGTGATTAACCAGTCCTCTTGTTTAACCCAACTAGTTTGTGATTATTCAGGGTAATTTCAGAATTTTTCAATTTCATTACTTCGTTTTCTTGACCTTCTTAAAGTAAGCATAGTATAGCAGGATATGGAACATTAATGGTTTCTAAAGTGGTCCAACCTATTGAAATCTGAATGCCTTTTTTTTGGCTTTCACTTTATTCTGGCTTCTAAATACATTTCATTAGTGCCAAAGGGTTAATGCCTGTTCCGTATAAGACCTCTTATTTGTTTATCCCCTCCCCCCACTACCACCACCGCAATCTGAATGTGCTGTCATTGATTCCATAAGTTTCAACTGTATGGGCGATTAAAAAGCATCCAGTTTTTCTATTGTAATGTTCCTGTACTTATTTTAATTTACCTTGAAACAGCCATCATCTGGTCCGTCAAACGGGAGCTTCTTTTCTTTTCTTGTTCATGCTGGATCTGAATAGTAGTTTTGTAAAAGCTTACATTTAGGACACTTTAAAAGTAAAGCTGTTTGGAATGTGTAGAGCCTTTTGTTAGCTAGTAAATGGGATTCAGACATACAGCATGGAATTATTGCAGATGATTATGACATTGTAAAGACTCTATTCAGTAGTACTTTCCTCACTTATTCCAAGGTCATTTTCTACTGGGAGAAGACAGTAAAACAGGTGCAAAAATGCCCATGAAGAGAGACCTAAATGTTTTACATTGGCAGTTTTCAAACAAAACAAAAGAGATTTCTGCTCTGAAAGAACAAAAACTCTTTATTGATATGTTATGGAAATTGAAGTGCCTCTTTGAATCCTATCTTTTTTCCATCAAGTTTTGTTCTAACCTTCCATTTTTAGAGACATGACTCAATTTTCTAAACTGTCTATTTAGAAAAAGTACAGATGTTTTTGCCAGAATAAGTAGAATTTTCCTGGGTTAAAGAATGATCATATGTTGACAGCTACCTGAAATGATACCTTCCAGATAACTCTACTTCATTCACCATTTCTCATAGCAAAAATGGAATATACACCAACCGCTTGTAGAAACTGTAGCGTCATTAAAATCTAGCATTTGTGTTACCCCAAGTGTGGTGCCTGGCCCTATAGAATAAAGGCTTGCACTGAGATGAAGGCAGACACAGACTTTATGGCAAGACCCCAGTTTAAACTTGGTGTGCATAGGTTTTATCCTGAGTTGCAAAGCACCAGAGCTGATAGATATCACAGTACAAGTGATGCAACAAGAAGACAGGTGTATTTCTTAATTTAGGGGGCAGCAATCCTTACCTGATGGTGGATTTCACATGTATGAAAACACTGTGCAAGGTAGTAATAATCGCACCTCTCTGGATAGCCTTGTGTGTCGCTGTCAGTTTGTACACTTTATTTAAAGTTAAAAAAAAAAAAAATGGGGGGAAGCTATGTGATGTGTTAAAACGCACATCACACTGGTCCCTACCGCACAGCTCTACAACTGTTTACAAACAGCTGCCTGCACACTAAATTGCAAAAGTCTTTCAGGCATTAGAGAGCGTCTGCTGCAGTCAGGCAACTGGATTCAATGTTCACCCTTCCTGAAGGTCTTAGGAGAGGTCAGGTGGTTACAAAGTCGACCATTTCACAGTAGATTCATCAGTTTTTATTGCCTAAGCCTATGGCTTGAATGATGAGGTTTCACTTTTCAAAGTGAAAGCTCACTCTACCAAAACTGTTGGGCTATCCATCATCAGGCATCAGTGGCTCAGGTTTGCAAGGCTGTGACCTGGCCTCGGTACACACCTTTTACAAGGTTTTTATCAGGTGGATGCAAGGCCAGCTGAGGATACTGCTTCTGCCCGCAGTGTTTTGTGGGCTGTGGAGTGGTTTCTTTGGGCCTGACGATGGCTACTGTTTCCCCCTCCCCTCATGTGCATTGCTTTGGGACATCCCAGGTAGTCAATAGATTTTTATAAGCAAGTACAAATATCTTTTTTTTTTCCTTTATATTGAAGTGTAAAATTAACCTGCAAGCCTAAAAATTACTATTATGCAAAAATCATTGAGATCTAGGTAACTTAATGCGGAAGTAAAGGCTTAATATTTACCCGTCCAACAGTCCTATGCAGGCATTTTCTGAGTGTTTGGTCTTCAAGCCTCTTCATTGGCTGGTGGGGGATGACGTCACTCCAGCGCATGCACAGGAGCTAGTCATCCTGGAACTGGGCCCATCACGTTAAGCTGAGCTATGCATGTGCAGCTCAGTTTACAGCACTAGAGGAGACAGCAGGCAGGTAGGGGCATTTTATTGCAGGACAAACAGTGCATTTATGTGCGATAAAAGTCTGCTCACTGTTTTTTTATGGCAGAACTGCAGTTCTGCTTTTACAAATTGTTCCGAAAGCATTTTTTTTTCCTGTTAATTGACTTTTAATAATTATCATGGAGGTGTCAATATAATAATAGCAAATGGTTAAGCTGAGCCATTCAGATTACATGTTCGAAAGTGGAGCATTATGAAATAGAACATAAATTTAATTCCTTGATTATTTTATTGGGGCAATCTGAGACATACCAATGCTTTTGAATTTTAGGAATTGTGCTGATTTTTTACTCAATTTAATTTCTTATTTCCTTGTAGCCAATGGTAATGATAACAAAAAGTTCAAAAGTGATGAAAAAATGGAGAGCACACCATCCCGGGTGCTCCATATTCGAAAACTTCCTGGAGAAGTTACCGAAACCGAAGTTATTGCTCTGGGATTGCCATTTGGGAAAGTGACAAACATTCTGATGCTGAAAGGAAAGAATCAGGTATATTTATGTATTTTATGTCTATAAAATGACCTCCATAGCTTATTTCTTTGCACATTTTAGAATTACTTGTGATTTTTCCAAGTTGACTAGTAACCATTTTGAGTTTTGCAGGCTTTCAAGAATGGGTGCCCACAATTTTATTTTTTATTTCGTTCAACCCGCAAAAATTCTTGACATATCACTGCGTCAACACAGGCAATGTTGGTGCGGGGATCTTTCTCTCTGAGACATTGTATTCTTATAGGGGACACCCCTTCTGCTTCCCCAGTCAGAATACATTAATCAGCGCTCACAGCCAGTGGCTGCAAGCACTGATCCAAATGCTGGTTTTCCAGCATGATTGTTCAACAGAAGCTGGTTTTTAGACGAGCTTCTGTTGAACAGACAGCTGTACACACAGACTGAAAGTCAGCCAGTTCCCGTTAAACCAGCTGATTTTTGGCCCATCTGTACTGGCCTTTAACTGGTCCCCACCCGGGCTATTGTAGAACGATGGCCGGGCGGGACCTCTCATTCTGGGAGGACGTCATATGATGTCCTCCCATTCATGGCGTTGGTGGGCTGTGTCCCTCAGACACAGCGCATCATCGATTCAGGGTAAAGAGTCAATGACGTTTGCTCTTTACCACGTGGTCAGCTGTATCCAAACCGAGCTGATCACATATAAGCAAATGTCAGCCTTTAGTCTGTTGGGATATATCACTGCTAACTTTTCACATCTAGACTAGACAATATTTGCTCACCTGTATTTTCAGAACTGCTCAAGTTCAGTTAAATCTCACGGTGACTGTTTGTGGGCTTCAGTCTCCAAGTCATCCAGCAGATTTCCAATGGGGTTTAAATCTGGGCTCTGACTAGTCTATGCAAGGACATTCACTTTTCTCTTTCAACACCTGTGTGGTCATGTTTACTGTGTGCTTTGGGTCATTGTTATGTTGGAAGGTAAACCTTCTTTCTATTGATAACGTTCTGGCAGAGGGCAGCATGTTTTCCTCAAGAATTTGACAGTATTTTGCCCCATCCATTTTACATCTATCCTGACAAGTGCTCCAGTCCCTTCTGCAGAGAAACAACCCCATAACAGGATATTACCACCTCCATACTTTACTGTAGGAATGGTGTTATTTGGATGGTGAACTGTATTTCTGCCAGACCTATTGTTTAGTGTTGAGGCCAAATCTTTCAATTTTAGTCTCATATGACCACAACACCTTTTTCTATGTGGCCTCAGAATCTTCAGAATGTGTTTTGGCAAAGCTCAGTCATGACTGCATGTGGCCTTTCTTGAGGAGTGGATTTTTCTTGCAACTCTCCAATACAAGCAACATTTGTGGATAATTTGAGATATTGTCACATGCACACCATGACCACTCTTTGTCATAAATTCCTGCAACTGCTTCAGAGTTGCTGTAGGCCTCTTGGTAGCCTCTCTGACCAGTTTCCTCCTGGCTCTTTTATCCAGTTTACAGCGACATCCTGATCCAGGGAAGCTCTGTGTTGTATCAAATACCTTCCACTTCTTAATCATAGACTTCACTGTGCTTCTAGGCATTGATAAAGCCTTTGAAATTTTATTGGAACCATCCCCTAACTCGTGTCTGTTCACAATTTATCCTGGAGATCTTTTGACAGTGCCTTGCCACCCATAGTTGATTGTTTGATTCAGTTGCACTACTAGGAGCTGAAAAGCTCCAGGAAAGATTTTTTCATGCTGAGCTAATCAAAATGACCACAGCTGATCACAGTTGAAAGTCAAATGGCTTTGTGTGCCACTGAGAAGGTTATTAACTACACCTGATTTTAGTTTACAAGTCATTTTAAGGAAGCTGGTGATCTTTTTTCCAACGCGGTGATTCTGTTTTTGCATTTTGTTCTGCTATGTTGGTATTAAATCTTTCATGTGGATGTTATAAGTTGCACTGAGTAAATACAGCTGGATAAAACAAAGACTGTGTCTGTCTTCATTTCAGGTTGCAAAGCAACAAAATGTAATTATTTTACAGGGGGGGGGGGGTGATTCTTTTCTATACCCACTGTAAATTTATGAAACTGGACTGTAAATCCCTTTTGGTGAGTGAATAGAACATCACTTTTTTCTTCATGCCAACTTTAATCCAAAGCCAGTGCAGAGCTTCAAGTAAATTTTCATCACAGTCATGGAATACGTACATTGCCAAATTAAGCGAATATAAAGGAAGAAAAAAAAACTGTGCCCCATAAGACAAGACAACTTTGTTTTAAATGCTGTGTCTGTTGTGTTAGATAACTCGTACCAAAGGACAGAAATCTTGTGCTTGGATTGCTGATTCCCCCTCTTGTTTTTTTTTTTGTTTTGTTAATGATGCATACGGTGCCAATGTGCAAAAGAAAATTTGTCTTCACACTTTTTGAGGGTCTTGTCCACATCTGTGTGTTTTTCTCAAACGGTTTGCTGTTCAAGAAAGTACATGTGTGTCTGCACTCCAAAGCTTCTGCATTAAGGAGTTTGGGTGTGCTTTGCATACAGTGCAGCCATAGGTGTGTTATTTGGACATCTTTTCACAACGCTATAACAAACAAATCTAAATCCACTTTGCATCTAGCCGTGTGTTTTTTTATATACTTTTTGTAATGGACATGTAATGTGATTTTGCTGAAGGCTCATGCTTCAGTGAAAATGTATTATGTCAATGTTACCATTATTAGTGATACAGTGACCTGCAGAAGTATTCATACCCATTGAAATTTTCCACATTTTGTTATGTTACAACCCAAAACATAAATATATTTTATTGGGATTTTATGTGGTAGACCAACAAACACAAAGTGGCATATAATTGTGAAGTGAAAGGAAAATGATAAATGGTTTTCAATTTTTTTTTTTACAAATATCTGAAAAGTGTGACATGCATTTGTATTCAGCCCCCTTTACTCTGATACCCCTAACTAAAATCTAGTGAAACCAATTGCCTTCAGAAGTCACCTAATTGGTAAATAGAGTCCACCTGTGTGTAATTTAATCTCAGTATAAATACAGCTGTTCTGTGAAGCCCTCAGAGGTTTATTAGAGAACATTAGTGAACAAACCGCATCATGAAGGCCAAGGAACACACCAGACGGATAAAGTTGTGGATAAGTTTAAAGCAGGGTTAGGTTATTAAAAAAATATCCCCAAGCTTTGAACACCTCATGGAGCACTGTTTAATCCATCATCCAAAAATGGAAAGAGTGTGGCATAACTGCAAACCTACCAAGACATGGCCGTCCACCTAAACTGACAGGCTAGGCAAGGAGAGCATTAATCAGAGAAGCAGCCAAGAGGCCCATGGTAACTCTGGAGGAGCTGCAGAGATCCACAGCTCAGGTGGGAGAATCTGTCCACAGGACAACTATTAGTCGTGCACTCCACAAATCTGGCTATGGAAGAGTGGCAAGAAGAAAGCCATTGTTGAAAGAAATCCATAAGAAGTCCCATTTGCAGTTTGCAAGATGTCATGTGGGGGGCACAGCAAACCTGGAAGAAGGTGCTCTGGTAAGATGAGACCAAAATTTAACTTTTTGGCCTAAAAGCTAAACGCTATGTGGGGCGAAATACGAACACTGCATATCACCCTGAACACACCATCCCCACCGTGAAATGTGGTGGCAGCATCATGTTGTGGGGACAGGGAAGCTGGTCAGAGTTGATGGGAAGATGGATGGAGCCAAATACAGGGCAATCTTAGAAGAAAACCTGTTAGAGTCTGCAAAAGATTCAAGACTGGGGTGGAGGTTCGTCTTCCAGCAAGACAATGACCCTAAACATACAGCCAGAGCTACAATGGAATGGTTTAGATCAAAGCATATTCATGTGTTAGAATGGCCCAGTCAAAGTCCAGACTGAAATCCAATTGAGAATCTGTGGCAAGACTTGAAATTTGCTGTTCAGACGCTCTCCATCCAATCTGACAGAGCTTGAGCTATTCTGCATAGAAGAGTGGGCAAATATTTCACTCTAGATGTGCAAAGCTGGTAGCGGTATACCCAAAAAGACTTGCAGCTGTAATTGCAGTGAAAGGTGGTTCTACAGAGTATTGACTCTCGGGGTATGAATACAAATGCCCGCCACATTTTTCACTTTTTTTTTTATTTTTGAAAACCATTTATTATTTTCCTTGCACTTCACAATTGTGTGCCACTTTGTGTTGGTCTATCACATAAAAATTTCAAGGGGTATGAATACTTTCAAGGTACTGTATTTTGCTATATTATGATGGCTAAGTTTAAATGGTAAAATTCAGATGAATAAAACTAGTGACATTTGCACAGTAATAATATTCTTGGAAAAACTTTTTCATCTTCACAGAGCTTGTGCTAATTCTAATCCTGTTTCTCTCTGTCTGATTTCAATCAGTAGTAGTAACTTGTATCATTGATGTGAGCAGCAACAGTTTTATATAAACATCGACATGATGTACGGTCTCCTATGTTCAAAGATACGAAATAGAATGGTGTTCTAGTAGTAATACAGTGATTTTATTTGCTAGCACAGACTTTATGCAACTGTAGATTAAGAAAACAAGCGGCAAGACTTTGACTAAAGAAGGTAGGAATGACATTTTAGTTTACGTGTGCATTCTTGTAAATATAATATCTTGATGTACTGTAGGCGTTTTTGGAACTGGCTACTGAAGAAGCAGCTGCCACCATGGTTAATTATTATACATCAATGACACCACATCTACGTAACCAACCGATTTATATTCAGTACTCTAACCATAAAGAGCTCAAGACAGACAGCGCACTCAACCAGGTATTTATGTTGTAATAATTTGTCAAAAGGTCATCTTGCAGAAAATGTTCATGGTCATTTTTTTAAGATTAATGACATTAAAAACACCTGAGCTTTTAACTCACAGAGAAAACACCTTGTAGCAAACCATCAACAAGATAATAACCTATCACAATGAACCATATTTCTGTGGCTTTTTCTCCAACAGAATGAGAGATGAGGGTGAATAGACTCTCACTCTAAATAAAAGCATGTTAAAAATAAAATATATGTAAGTTGTACTTAAAGGAGGAGTATGGGATAGTACAAATAGCATTAACTATCCTTACCACAGAACAGCTTTTCTTTCTTTCCTATGTTGCTCTATTTTTCCTGTATCCTCATTCCAAGCCATGGTTAGGGCTGAGTAATGGTCCTCTTCAGGTTTGAAAGTTTGGAGTGGGTGGTTACGTCTGGAGTGAGCCATCCCCCTCATCCTCTCCTCCTTCAGCTCTCAGCTGTGACCATGCTTTCCTCTGAGATGCGAGCTGGAATGTGCCTGCCTGTCATGTGTCTCTGTTTCCATGACTTCATACTGTCAGCAAGAAACAGAGGCACATAACAGTATGCTGAGGGATTCCCAACTCCAGGAGACTGTACTGTACAAGAAAAGAATGAATACATGTTCTTCAGCTTCTTCTCTGCTTCAGTCTGCAGAGAGAGAACTGATAAAGTTTGACAGTGAGAGCTCAGCCTAGTTGTTAGTGGGAAGGAGGGAGAAAGCAGCTGCATGTCTAAGTCAAACTCGGGCGACCTTGATGGTAGGAAAAGTAGGGGAAGAGACACTGCCTGTGTTTGTGAAACTGAACAGCCTGGATGGGAGGGGTGAGGAGAGGGGGGACTGTGAGAAGAGCTGAAGCTCTGCTGATGTCTTGGGAGCATGCAGACTGTCAGGAGCCAATGTCGGTCAATAAGAGGGGGGTGGATACCGACTGCAATGTCGAGATAACGCTGCAGGAGAGACCTCAGCTCCTCCAACAGGTATTTTATTTGATTTTAGAAGAAAGGGTGTACATTTCAGAGGGCATAAAAATTTTTCATGGTAGCAGCTCACCAGCATTCAGATTATGCAAAAAAAAAAAGAAAAAAAGTAACCCATACTTCTCTTAAAGCCCCACTCTTAAGCCCCACCAGCATCTAACTAATCGCTATAATAAAAAAGAACCCTATCTAAAATCCCTAATCTTAATTATACAGTACAAGACACAGGCCTAGTATTCATAGGCTTTTACCTTCAGGTGATTGGACACTGGCGAAGCTTTCAAACATATTCCCCCAGGGCACCTATCCTATACCCATACTCCACTCTGTGAGTCCTTATTTTTTTTTGCTAATGCCTTAATGTAATGGGCGTCTTTATACTTACAGAGAAAATAATCTTTAGCTTAACAATTTGTATTTTTTTTTTTTTTATTTGATTTTTGACCAACTCCTCGTTGCCTTCTAATATCACAAATAGAAGCAGTGAATCTGAATTGGCGCAGACTTGGTAACTCTTTAAAGCCGTACCAGAAACCCACACTGTGAAGACAGCCTGTAATTTTGCTTTGGGCATTAGATCCAGCATCACTCACCTTGGCACATCGTACAAAGTGTGTAGTCAAACTTGGGGTGCTTTAGAGGTACAGGGCTATGGTCCAACCCTATGGAACCCAGTCCCTGAAGACCCCTTAAGGGGGTATGCATACTATGATGGGCAAAGCATGGGCTTTCATATACAGTCCAGCATCGTGGACAGGTAAGATATGGTCACCCTGTTTATTTCTGACTATTACTATTTAATGGGGCAATATTTGAATTGTATTCACTACGGTGTAAATTTTCTGCTAAAACTCAACTCAGTAGGTGGATGACCAGGTTTGACATCACACCACAGGTTGCACAATTTACCGACACTTTCACCCAGAGCCCTTATAAGGTCCTCAGGTGCTTCCTTCCTCCAAATTTCCAGAATGGCTCTAATCTCCACTTGGGCAGAGTAATGTGCCTAAAGGCTTAGACTGTTGAAACTGCCTGTTAAAAGTGCCTAACATATATCTTTTCAAAGAAGATGTCTATATGGAGAGGCTCTTGAACAAATAATCAAAGATGTCAAAACTTCAAAATAGTTCATCCTTTCCTTTCGGCACAAGAATTCGGCCACAAAGCCCAGCAGTCTTTCCCAAAGTCCTATTCCCAATGAAGGGGCACCCTAACTCTTAAGAGTTGTGCGGGGGGGGAGGGGGTCTGGGGGTGTCTGTTTGCCTCTCTTCACAGATGTCCCAGAACCCTGAGCCATCTCTTTTCCCAGGGACTAGTTGTGCCAGTGCTTCCTGAAGACATGTTCGAAGGATTCTGTTTATAAACTTGCTCATGGTGCCAAAGTTTAACTGGGTAAACATTCTATTCTGGACCTAAACAATTGAGTACTGTCCGTGATACTTTTTTTAATTGCACTAACATACAATTTTGAGGACAAGCTTTCGGGGAATGTCCCCTTCTTCAAAGTCTAAGCAGTACTACTAACCTAAAATCTCTCAAAAAATCCCATCAAATTCCAAAATTGAGCATTTAATCTGCAAGTTCAATAATTGTCTGAGAAAATGGGAGTATATGGCATCCGTAGACATCCAAGATGCCCATCTTCATATTTCCCTTTATCATCAGCGCTTTCTGTGCTTTGCAGTTACTGAAAATCACTGTAGTTTGTTGCACTGCCCTTTGCAGCCTTGAGGGAAACCAGCCCAATAGTCTGGTGAACAAAAACTCGCTGTTCAGTAAATGCTTCAGTTTACATTCCAGTAGTGGAAATCTGGAAAGCAGTCTACCTCTGCTGCCAGGATAATGGGGAATGGGACCTTCCTCCAGACATCTTCAGTCTGTTATGTCAGAAATGGGGAACTCCAAATGTAGATATCCTAGCCCCCTGATTCATAATACATTTCTGTTTGTAGCCAGGACCAAGTATCTTCTAGTCCTAGCCTCAATGCCATAAATATTGCCTGGTCTCAGTTAAGGCTAATCTATGCCTTCCCCACAGTGCCATTCTGCCTTGTTTTTTTCAAAAAGATAAAGTTAGAGGAAAACAGTGATTCCCATTGAACTAGCCCAGAAGAATCAGGTACACAAACATACTCGGACCTCTAGTAGACGTTCTTTGGAATCTTTCCAACAGGCACGATCTGTTGTCCCAAGGCCCTCTATTTCATCCTGCTTCACAGTCTCTGGCTTTAACAGCATGGCTTCTTTGCCTAGTGTAAACACAGGTACTTGTATTCCAGTGATTACTCTGTGCCTTCTGGCCTTCCTTCAATCAGGTCTTGACCAGAACTTAGCCTAAGTAATCTGCAAAAACCAGTCACTGCCTTTTCCTATCACTTTCAGAGACCATTGCCTTTACTCTCCCTTTGAAAAACAAGAAAAAACAAAAACTTTCTTCAAGCTGTATCTCACATTCAGACCCTCTTGCAACACCATGTGCTCCTTGGGACCTCCTGCAAAGTAGCCTTTTATTTAATAGTGAGAAGCGTAGCAGACTAAGAGTGCTCCTCATAGTGCATTATTGCCAGTTTAGTAAAAGTGTAAAACATATTAAATCACTTACACAAATATTGTGCTTGACAGAATGCAAGCAAAATAATCGCATTACAACATGTCCATGGACTGAAATAAGAACAACTGGAAGTAGTGGTGCACCGAAATGAAAATTCTGGACGGAAACCAAAAATTCACGTATTGCGTTTTTGATGTGTTTTTTGAGTCACATTACCTATGAAGGACACACCCTAAAATCTACAGATTATTATCTGCACCTTTTTTCCTATCGCCAAAATGCCGATAACACTATCTTTGGCTGATGCATTTCGTCCGTTGATATATTGGTGCATCCCCTAACTGGGAGTGAGGGATCTGTGCAAACCGATGGAGGGGAGAAGTTTCCTTATGTTAAATACGTCACTTCCAGCTGCTAGTTTTCTGATCTGTGGAACACAGGAGTGTCCTGGATATGTTATGTGATCTTAGCTTGCATTTTGTCAAGAACACTAATTGTGTAAGCGTTTTTAATACGTTTTAAACTTTTAATAAACTAGAAGTAATGCTCTATTAGGAGTGTTCTTGGTCTGTTTCATATATTTTTTTCCCTAAAACCCTTGAACCAGGGAGAAGGATTGGTACCTGTATGCTGCCTAAACGGGAATGAGAGAGCTTGGAGAAATAAAACCAAGAGCACTAAGACCCACTTATTTGGTTAAGGGGTTATGGATGGCTGGTGAGTGTGGTGTGCAGATGGGAACACAGAATTGGCAATTGGTGTGAATTAATATTGCATTTTATTTTTGCCACCTGAAAGATTATCATGCATTAAGAAGCATAAGGACACTTTAGGATATTTTAAAGAGCACTTTATTGAACTTTATGGTTATTTGTTTTTTTTTTACGCATAGCACTTTGCATCAGTTTGCACATATTTATTAATTTGCACAGTTTGTGGATGTTGTTGAATTGTATGTTTCATTAATTTGTCTGCATAGGTGTATTTACATGTAAAAGTAGTGCTACAGCCACATCATTGGTCTTTGCATTCAGAGGTATTTTTTGGTGACACTCACTGGTGCAGAGCAGCTGCTACCATTGTTCAAAGAATCCAGAGCACAGGGTTTAATTATTTCAAGGACTCCCTCTTTGTCCTGTCCTCAGGACCTTACAGGGAACACCTTTTCAAATCGCAATTCAAATTTCGAGTTTGATAAGAAATCTGATTGTTAGAGCTTACAGGCTCAAGGAAAATCTCCTGAGCTTTTATGCACTCATTCCACCAGATTGGTGGGAGTTTCCTGGGCATTTAAGCATTGTGCCTCTGAAATCCAGCTGTGTAAGGCTTCCAACTGGTCCTTTTGTTCATACTTTCTTTTACCTGGTAGATGTCCAGTCTTCTGCAGAATCAGCTTTCGACTGCAGTTTTCTTGCAGCAGCAATCTGAAGTTAAGTCTTTTTGACCTCGTTGCTATTGTGCCTTTTGGCACAGTTCTGTTTGCCTAGTTATTTCCCACCCTTCTTATTCATTTCATGGGGATGTTCCAGGGTCTGTCAATACTTTGCCTATGTCTTGTACTGTACAATTTAAGATGAGATATTTTTAATTGCCTGTAAATTCCATATCTTGAATTACAGAATAGGACACAGGCTCAACGCAGCCAAACAGGGCTGGTTTAAAACGAGCGATGCAATAAAATTGTGAAAGCATACAAAACGACAAGTAAAAATTAAATGTCACTTTTATGTAGCGATATAAATAACTCAAAATTTGTGCTTAATAAAACACACTGATGTTACTCTTAAAAGTAAAAAGGGATCTGTTAATTCAGCATACATATTTACATGATATTGCTAAATACATGCAATTTCCTACATATATACATTAGGTGCTACTGTCAGTTACTTAAAGTGGTTGTAAAGGCTCAAGGTTTTTTACCTTCATGCATTGTATGCCTGAAGGTAAAAAAAAAATTGTGTAGTAGTCCCCCAACACTTATCTGATCCCCATCCTGATCCAGCGGTGTCCATGAGAGCCTGTGTTCTCCAGGGACTCTCACTCCTGATTGGCAACTGGAGCCAATCAGGAGAGAGAGGGGGTGGGGCCGAGCCGAAGCTCTGTGCGTGAATGGACATGCAGAGCCGTGGCTCGGGAACATGCCTGCTCGGGTTCCCCCATAGCAAGCTGCTTGCCATGGGGGCAACCGACAGGAGGGAGGGGCCAGGAGCGGCGTCGGGAGACCTAAGAGGAGGAAGATCAAGGCTGCTCAGTGCAAAACCACTGCACAGAGCTTGTAAGTATAACATGTTTGTTTATATATTTATATATAAAGACTTTACTATCACTTTAATACTACCAGAAATGGCACAGTAGTGGAGCTGTCACTCAGAACAACCAGATTGTGCTGCGAAAGTGAAACAGGCAATTTTCTGTACAAAATGGCTTGGGTTTTCTTCTCCAGTTTCACGAATCAGCCAATTTTCAGGTCACAGTGCAACAATCAGGACAGCTGTCAACTGAACTGCTGTGGATGCTGGAAGGGGAGCAAGTGTGAAAACTTGCCGTGATTGATCTTCAGGTCGGATTGTTTCTGCATAATTAGTTTAATTTGAAGCATTCAGAAATAAACTGATAAGAAATGTAATGTTTTATTTATGTGTGCCAAAGCATACAGTAGTTCATTTTTATTTTATGTCCATACAGTACTGTTTTTCTCTTCACCACTACCATTTTGGAAGTTCTGTCAGTGTTTTTTGTTTTTGTTTTAGCGCGCTCAAGCAGTGCTTCAGGCTGTATCTGCAGTTCAGACTACCAATTCCACTGTGGGTACTACTGTGGGAAGTGAGACCACAGTGTCCCTCAGCACAGAGTCCTGTCCTAAGAATAATTATTGACAACATGTACTACCCTGTCACCCTTGATGTCCTTCACCAGGTAGGTAAAAGTACATCCTAATGGGCCAGTAAAATGAAAGTAAAGTCACTGGCATTTGGGATTGGTGTTGGAGGCTTAGTTATAAAGACTAAGATAGCCAGTAGTAAAACTGCTGAGACAATAAACTATTACTATATTGGCAAAGAATATATACTGTACATAAATCTTCTAGAAATGCGTGGGTTGAGTTATGGTTAACTGATACATAAGCATTATAAACTTGGCCTGGTAGTTGAAGGATTAACTTAGTGCAGTGGAAAGACTGGAATAGCTCCTTTCCCGATGGGGGTAAGGCTTTCCACTGTACTGAGTACTGTTTACAGTGTTTCCACTATACTGGGTAAGTTAACCCTTCAACTACCAGACAACGTTTATGATGCTTGTGTATCAGTTAATCCCAACTCTAACTAGGCATTTCTAAAAGAATTATGTAGAGTATATTCACTGTGCTAATGTAGTAATAGTTTATTTTCTCAGTAATAGCATTCACAGACTTGTGAAAACTTCAGCACCTTTAGAGAAGTTGAAACCTGTAAGTTTAATTTTTTGCTTAGGTGAAAATGGCTCCAATTTTGTACACGCATCATTCAGGGTATAAACTGCATGCAATTTTACTTACCTGTTTGCTGTTTTTTTTTTTGTGGTTTATTAAACAAATTTGATGCTCTTGTTTTTAACTCAGATATTTTCAAAGTTTGGTACTGTTTTGAAGATAATCACTTTTACAAAAAACAATCAGTTTCAAGCCCTTCTACAGTATGGAGACCCAGCTAATGCACAGCAAGCAAAACTGGTAAGCACAACCTTTACAGCAAACTATTTAAAGTGAACCCAACTTGGCTTAAAGAATGCTTAAGGAGAAACCTGCATCATTCTTCAAATCAGTCCCTGTGGATCCTGTTGGATGCTGGGCTCTTAACATCACCAAGTTGCCCCCCTGCTGTCACTATGATTCACCCCCCCCCCTTCTTGTTTATTTGTCAGTTAGCGTCTACTGCTCGCTTAGGCTTTTTCATTTGACACTTGAATAGCAGGGGACAGGTCTTAAAAATGTAAAGATAAAAATGCAGAAGTTGCAGTTTCCTGGACAGTAAGAACAGTCACTTCCTTTCTACATGAATGCACTCCAGCAATGGCTGCATCGCATTTCTCAGGATGCGCCTCCTGATGGTGACAACCGTGTGCCAAACCTGTGTAATGTCTGTTGAAACCATTTGTAGCCTCCAACAGAAGCCTGTGTGGCAAGGTGATGATATAGGAGCACAATTAGGAGACAGGAATATCAGAGTGTTTGTAACTTTATAGCAGGAAGTACCCAAACAATAACTTTCTTGGCGGGATAACCATGTATTTTAGTGAATGTTGCATATTTAAAATATTGAAAATGACTTTTCTTAGTACAGTAACTTGTTTAAAACGTATGTGGATTTTAGTGATCAGGTTTTCAGGTTTACATATACTAGACTTGACAATGGCCAGTCAGTTGTCTAACCTCATCTCTGAGTTAGAGTGAATGTAGGGTCCTGTGTTTAGTAACACTATCTGGTCTCCCACAGTACACACTACATGGAAGTGCAATTATTTTAGTAAATATAAACTGCTAAATACCTTTTCTCATCAGCAGTTAGATCAATCTTGCGACTTCTATCAGTGTCCAGCCAAACATGTTATAGCTTGTAGGAGTTGTTTTCTTTCTGCTTTAGGAGGATCCAAAACCCCTGACCTCTGTCTGCTCAGTGCTGATTGGCCCTGTGCTGATCACATGCACTCGGGAAAAAAAAAGAAAAAAAAAACCTCTAGTAATACACTAAACTGAGCATGTGCAGAGTGTCTCCACATATCTTATCAGGAGATAGGAGGGAGACACTGGAAGAAGGGGAGGATCAGAGAAGTCAGGATCAAACAGCATTTTTAGACAATGCAGATGATTAACCCCTTAGGTTCCACAGTGAGTATATCCAGCATGATTTACTGCATATACAGACTGATTTTACTGTTGTGGGTTTAGTAATACTTTAAAGTGATTGTAAACCCTCACCTTGTAAAATATGAAATACAAAAACGTGTGTGATTTATACTATGTCATGATATACTTTTTTTTCCCTATTTTTATAAGTGATCATATACCCTCTGTTCTCAGCTGCATAAGAGATGAGAGAGGAGAAACCGCAACACAATGATCTTTCCAGTGAAGGGGCGGGGGTTGTCGGCTCCGGTCTGATCATTGGAGAACATGCCGAGTACCCAGCACAGCTAGAGAACTGACCACAGTGTGTTCTGCTTAGTGTGACCAGTTTTTAATAGGAAAGCAGAGGGACTGGCATGGACGCCAGGGATTTCACACAAAGGAAGCAATACAAAGAGAATGGGACACATGGTACAGCAGGCACATATCAGGAATAGGAAATGTTGGGCTTACATATTATTTACGTCTGAGGGTTCATAGGGAGATGTCCTTGATACTTTAGCTCAGGGCTTGAAATTTCCACTCGCCTGCTCGCCAATGGCGAGTGGAAATTATGGTGGGGGTGAGTGTGTCCCCCCAGGGCCATCTTGCTGAGCAGGCTCGGAGCTCAGGCCGGACCTGTCTTTGGCACTGGGAGCCTTCAGACTGCTCAATAGCTGAGCGCAGTGAAAGCAAAGCAAGGAGTGTGTGCTGTGCTCTCTGCCACCCCCTAGAGTGCAGTACCCGGATGTGTGAGTGAACTATGAAGTACTGCAAATTTTTATGGGGGGGGGGGGGGGGGGGGAATTCTTTTTTTTTTTAGTCTGTGTATGCATGTACAATTGTACATGTGTCTGCGTGTATGTACATGAGTCTGTGTGTTTACGTGTTTGTGTGTGCATATACATGTGTGTGTTTGTGTGTATGTACGTACATGTGTGTATATGTACGTGTCTGTGCGTGTGTATTTCTGTGTATGTACATGTATCTGTGTGTATGCGTGTCTGTGTGTGTGTGTCTGTGTCTGTGCCTGTGCGTGTATGTACATGTATCTGTGTGTATGCGTGTCTATACGTGCCTGTGTGTGTATGTGTGCATTTGTGTATGTGTGCATGTATGTACATGTCTGTGTGTGTGTGTGTATAGGTGTCTCTGTTTGTGTTTGTTGGTGGCGAGTAACTCTAAGGCCTGTCTAGTAGCTCAGGACCTGAAATTTTAAGCCCTGCTTTAGCTGAAGTATCAAGATCAGATCAAGAAAAGATAAATTATAGGGTTATATTAATCCATCATAAATAAGTCTCCATAGTTCTGCTAATTAACAGAATACTTCGATTCCTGCATAATCCTAGTCATGACCAGCATTTCTTGACTTAGAAGTCAGACATCGACTTAAAAGACTAACACAGATGCTTGCAGGTAAACTAATGTGCTTTTGTTTTGGTGCTTTTTTCTGACCTTAGGCAGCTTTTTTTGGCCAGGGCATGTAGCTGTATTTTTTAATATGAAATAAATTTTGCAAATAAAAAAACAATCAATGTTCATAAGTTTTGTTAACTAAAGTGTATAAGGTTTGTTTCTTGTACAAGTTTTTGCCTTTTCATATTTATTTTTCTTTAATTAATAGGCATTAGATGGTCAAAATATCTACAATGCCTGCTGCACCCTTCGGATTGACTTTTCAAAACTGGTAAACTTAAACGTAAAATATAATAATGACAAAAGTCGGGACTATACCCGTCCAGACCTGCCATCTGGAGATGGACAGCCTGCATTAGACCCAGCTATTGCTGCAGCATTCGCCAAGGAAACCTCACTTCTAGGTATACATGATCTTTTTAACAATATCGCACAGCAGCTCTGATACAAATATGGTTTGTTTTAATCAGCAGGTGTATATGAACTTCATATTCCCTCAAAATGTGCTTTGCTGTTTAAGGCGTTGCTGGAGCTCTGTCTGCGGCTCCTGTATTGTTCTCCTAATATGGTGGTGGTGATAGCCGCTTACATAAATAATGACAAGGATGTGAGCAACTCTGTGCATCTGGGAATACTCACATCTGATTACCTTGTGACAGCAAACTAAACAGTGGCTCATATGAGCTCATTTCTGAAAATGTTTACTTTGTTGTAACTGGCTGTACTCAAAGCAGTTTTCTAGCAATTTTAGCCACTTTTCATCCAGCTTTCGGCTGCAACAATACTTGAATGAACCAAGGCAATGTAACAGTATCCCTGTCATATACATATAACTATGTAAACTGTTTTGCCTTGATCCTGCCTGTATTATTTTCAGTAGAAAGCAGGTTGTAATGCAGATGCAATGCTTTACAGGCTCCTAATAAAAAACATAAATGCTCATTTTACCTGCAAAAAGATGTGCATGTATTATTTTTTTAAAAGGTTATTACTTTAACATGCGTTACAACATTCATTACAACACACATAAGGGAAAAACGTAGATGTAAATTTAGTATAAAGCTAGCCAAACAGGTCTTCAGTTTCAGCCCATTACTGCTGAACTGTCAGAAATTTGAGCAATTACTTGTGTCCACATCACCCCTCTTAACAAAAGTTGTTTTTAAAGCAGTCACTGTTTGGGTATTGAGGCAATGGGTGCTTTGGTTGGCTGAATACATTAGCAGGCTGTGTAGATTTCCCCATCTGGACTGTGAGTCTGAATGGGAGAAATCTTAGCTTGTATGGATAGCCTAAATGTACCCATCCAACCAGCCCAAGAAGCCTATTCTCCATCCCTTCCATAGCTGTTTCTAACTATCCTACAGATGCACATATGTTGAGGCTGGCAGTGCCTTTAATCCTTTCTGCAGTGAAATAAGAACAGAAAGCTATTCTGTAGCCTATAGTATTTTTGTTGGTGAGTTTGCTGACATTTTTAGAGTGACCTTTTTGCTTGATTAACCTGTAAGTAGTGTTATGTTGGCAATGGAAGCAAAACATTCTGATACTAAAATATCCTATTTCTTTCTTTGTCTTTTATAGTCCTGCAGAAGTTACATGTAGTACAGCTTTCCTCTTAGGAGCAGATTTAAGCTGTGTCCAAATTTTGCTTGCAGGCCTTGTAATATTGAATGCAGTCTGGAAGCAGTTTTAAGTAGAGTTGATGCTCTAAATGAAAGATAAATGATTTGGGGAACAAAATGAAAGTGATACTAAAAGTTTATCATTAAAAAAAAAAAATAAACACGTCATTCTTGCTTGCTCCGTGCAATGGTTTTGCACATAGCAGCCCCGATCAGCTCCTCTTTTCAGGTCCCCCCACCGGCGGTCTTAGCCCCTCCCCCTTGCTGAGTGCCCCCAGAGAAAGTTGCTTTCTCTGGTGGCACTTGTGCATACACACTTCCGAGCCCCACCCCCTGCTCCATCCTCACTGGTTGTGATTGATAATGGCTACCACTGCTGTGTCTCAGCCAGTGAGGAGGGAGAGGCCTAGGAGAGCCGCCGTTCTCATGCACATGAATTGAGATCTGGCTTAGGCAAGTTAGGCGAGGGGAGATCTGCACACTGCAGATTTATTACCTTCATACCCAGAATGCACGAAGGTGAAAAAAACTTCAGCCTTTACAGCTACTTAATAAACATTAACAATGTTTGATAACATTAAATTGGGTTACTCTAGGAGCCTGTGTCGATGGGCTTTGGGCTTGCACTGATGGCATTAGTTTAATAGATGTTTGAGGTGCTTATGTAATCAGTCAGAATTCATTGATAGGTACATTTGACCTGTTGAATTCCTTCTCACCTGCAGTTGACCTGTATCAAGAAGATTTTGCATTCCCATAGATATATATGGAATGCAAATCCCATTTTGAATCGAGCAAAAGCCCATTGACACAGGGCATGATTGTAACTCTGTTGCTGATTTTCTCATTGAGATTATTTTGGAGCTCATGCAAAAAATATCCTAAGGAAAAAAAAAGAACATTTGAGCAGTTAGGTTGTGTCAGAGCATCTTGATGAAAATAATCTCTAATCAATATATGTCCTCTTTAAAACACAGTTTTGCTTTAAGTTTCTACGTATATTATGTAGATTGGGCTAGTCATATTTGGTTGTTTTTTGTTTTTTTTTCATGCTCTGGCTTTGTTTCCTTCTTTACCTAGTGCTACAATTACTGTCCCTTCTCACCAGTCTGAGTCAGCTGACTCATTTAAAATCTTGAACTCCCTTTGTTGCCATTTTATCTGAATAGTTGTTAAGCCACTGCTGTAGCTAATCTACCCAGTGGCTAATTTACACCTTTCTACATATAATACAATAGTAAACATTTTCAAAGGATTTGTGATTTTAAAGTTGCATCAAAAATTGAAGGTAAACACCTCAAAACTTAATATGTGCTCACTGAAAATGGACTATGATTTTCCTTTAAAATTTCCATTTTAGTAAGAAAGAAGTGGTTGCTCTGACCCTAAAAAACTGTTCTTCCCATAAAAAAACTGTTCTTCCATCAGATGCTGTTATGGATGGGGTTCACAGTTTTTTTTGTATTGTGCTTTTTTTGTTTTTTTTCCCCTTAATGCATTTTTCTGTTTCCTTTCGCAGCTGTTCCTGGTGCATTAAGTCCATTGGGGATACCAAATGCTGCAGCTGCTGCGGCCGCTGCTGCTGCAAGCCGTGTTGGTATCCACGGTGTTTCAACGAGTGCAAATACTGTTCTTCTAGTTAGCAATCTGAATGAAGAGGTCAGTGAAGCAAATCTGTTTTAAAACAAATACGTACATGACTCATAAACACAGTTTATCCTTGCCTGTCTTCTTTTTTGTTTTCTACACATCTTATCAAATTTATTTTTACATCATTAAACAATGCTAATCTGGTAACCATAGAATGTGTGGGGAGAAAAATGAAATCTCGTTGGTCCGATGTACCAGCCAACCATACCACCCTAAAATGTATACAGATGGTGGTGGTCATTGCAATGATTGTTGTATTTTTTGTTTTTATATATATATTATAAAGAAGTAATGAGGGAAATATGACTTTCTGTAATTTTGCCTTGTAACTAGCACAGTGCCACAGTATTTCCACGCAGTGTAATAGTCTCTCTTTTTTTTTGTGTCTTCCAATTGATAAAAGGAAGCAGATTTTATAACCAAGGCCTAATTCCCAAAGGCAATGACATGCATGCGTTTTAGATGCAATATAGTTTGAATTGCGTGGGCATTTTTCAATTTAACTATAACTATTTTTAAACTCGTATATTTTCACTTAATATTTTAAAGTAGAACTAAAGGCAAAACTTTTTTTTTTTTTTTTTTTTTAATTTATATAGAGTGAAGAGGGATTAGAACACTTGTCAGTTTTTATTGCTGTCTGTGCCCCTGTTAGGGAGATTTACCCTCTCTATTTATCCCATTATCATTGACAGTGAAAGAAAATCCCCAATTTTGGCTTGTCCCCAGAAAAGTAATAGTGGGGAAATCTTTCAATGGGAACACCAGTTCTGGTGAGCTGGGGGTTCCCAAAGAATTTCCTTAGTTTGCAGAGATTTCCTCTCTCTTCTTGTTTGGCTATGGGACAGGAAGTGAAGGGAATTCTCTGCAATGAGACACCCTACCTAGTTTTGCCTATAGTTCTACTTCATCACACTGCATCTAGATGCATTTCGTTTAGCTGTGTTTAGATAAAATAGATTTTTTTATTTCCAGATCAGATTAGCGTTGTGTCTTAATGCATATAAGTGCATGTAAACACGCAAATACATTTAATTGTAGCACAGTGTCTGGGAAGCATAAAGTTTGTTTGCATTTCCCTGGTAATTTCTCCTAACGCAGGAGGCTGACTGTAGCCTAAGTACTTGTTTTACAGCACTGTTTTGTCAACTGAAATCACAGCAAAGCCATCTTTGGATACAGTAAAGCAAAACCAAAATCCACAATAGTTACCTCTTCTTCAAGGGTCCCAATTCCCTCACGGCATCCTATACCTGACTTCTTGCATTCTAAAGAAGACTGCGAGTAGGCAGGCAGGTTTTTTCTTTTGCAGAATTGACATTGCATATCTCTTCTGCAATAAAGTGCCTGCCTGCTCGCAGTTTTTAAAAAGAAAGCTTTAGTTCTGCTTTAAAGTTGTATTCCAGGTATGTATTTTTTGTATGGTTACATTGGTCTGCTGGACCGGTGTAACTATGCATTTACCCTATCTGACCGATTCTGGTGGAATTGGAGAATTGCTGTAGTAGCCAGCAGTACTACAGTGATACAATATCTTCTGCTTATAGTGCCGAGTGGCTGCTCTGCTGTGCAGTGAACACTGGGTCACACTCTCACTGCACAACTGCCATTCACAGATCACCTTCTATTTTTCTCACCGTGATGAGACAGGTATAGCATATGCACACTTACATTGGTCCAAACTGGACCAATACAGCCATGCAAAAAAGAAAAATTCAACTTTTAATCAACTATGTTTCACAGCAAGGCTAATCCAAAGTGCTCAAAGTGCTTAATCTGTAATTTGCTACACGGAATTACAGACTAGCAGTTGCAGATACACACAAAACTCCTTGTAATTTTTTTTCCGTGTATGTGTGGCTCATTTATTAAATTTTTTTGAGAATGGTCTTCCAATTTGTTTGCCTGTAATCACAGAAATAATAGTAGTGCACTTGTCAGAACGTTTGTTTAAGTTTGCAGATCTTGTGGTGCACCCCTTGTCTTTGGGCTAGTGGGAAATTTACCAGAAACAGTTGCTTGCCTGACAGAAACAGGCATATGATTTTAAATCTAAGTAAAGTAAAGAACTGTTGCAAACACTGAAGTGGTGGATCCTTGAAATGTCAAAATGTATAGTTGCTTGAACAAGGACATTTTTTAATTATAAAAAAAATCCAAACTACTGGTATAATTCTAAAAGGACAGCTTCACCAACTATGACTAGTTTAAAGGCTAGGACCCATTATTTCTAGGACCCATTTTGCCTACTGCCCCCTCTTTGTCAATAAGGTACTGAACTTTAGGACATCTATAGAAAATCTTTTAGGCCCCGCTCTCTGTGTGGGTGCACTGAGAGTGCACACTCTATGCTTGTTGTCTCCACTGACCTGCAGTTAGACGATGTACTGCAATACGTTTCACTCCATCTGTATAGTTTTTTCTGTTACTAAAGTACATACTTAAAATGGTCAGCATTAATTTCCTTGTCGTTTTTTTCCTTTTTAATTGGCAGTTTTGTTTCACACTCAATTTTTGCTTTTCTTTTTTCATTTATACAAATCTCTATTTGTATCAACTACTCTAATACGTTTTTCTTTCAAGGTGCTACCAAAGATTTTGATGAAGCTCTCTTCCTGTCTTAGTAATCTCTTATTCTTTGCAGTAACTGGGCATTCTGTCATCTTCTTTAATGCTGTATCTTTCCTCTGAAACCTGTCTTTCCTATCCCTATACTGCCATTTGCTCTATTCCTTCATTTCTCTTTGGGTGCTGTGTATTCTGGTATGAAATGTGAGAAGTTTGATTGCCAGGATATCTTGATGGCTGTGTTTTTTTTTTTTTTTTCTTTTCTTTTCTTTTTTTTTTTTTTTGTTTCTTTGCCATCTAGACTGAAGGCAGGCAAACTGGGTCTCTGACTAGATTCCCCTGATAGCCGAGACACCTCCATTTCATTTTTTTTTTTTTTTTTTTCCATCTCAGGCTAGCCAAAAGGTAGCAGCTCTTGGGTTTATACTAAAGACCTTTTGCTTGTGCGAGACATCAGTAACCATTGTTAGGAGTATGCAAACATTGTTTCATTGATCAACCTCATGTTGTAGAACACCCTTATGACTAGGTATGTTTTTACCTGTAGAATCACATTTTCTCTGCCTTCAGTCCAGAATCTGCAGTCCATTTTTGTGCTAAAAATGATAATCATTGGTCACATGTTAGTTTGTGCCATCTGCATGTTCAAATGATTTGCCAGCCATCCATATAAGATTTCCTTAGCATTTCAAGCCAAGTGTGCTTTATGCACTGAAATATAAAACTGTATCTGCTATGTCCCCTCCCTGTGTCAAAATAAATGACTACTTGTATTCTGATGAATGTGTTTCCCATACTTGTCTTGGATGACTACATTTTAGTTCTTCCTGTACAGTACATAAGCCAACCATTTTTTTCTGACCAAACTCCTGCATTTCCTTTGTACTGACCTTTATTTTATTTTCTCCCCACTTCTTTTTTTTATTTTGTTCTGCATCATCTCCTACCCTACCCCCCTTACCCCTTATATTTGTGTCCTCCCTGTGTGATGTTCTTCCTGTTCCTCAATGTTTTCTAAACACTGCTGTCAAACTTCTTCCCATATTATGTGTCTGTTTTCACCCTCCCCCTTCAAACCCTATGTTCATGCTTCTTTGCTTGAACAATATGTTCCTCGGACCAACTTGCCCCAAATAACTGCCTTGAACCATGATCCATGACCACCTTCACCATTCTACGGGAACCACCCTTCGTTATGGATGATCTGTTCATCTCCGCTCTTCCTCGACTCTTCTCTCTTCTTGTCTTACGCTGCTTGCTCTTCTCTCCTTCTAAAGATGGTTTCGCCCCAAAGTCTGTTTACCCTCTTCGGTATGTTATTGTTAGCACTATACTTTTATTATTAATTTCATTTTTTTTTTTTCACCTTATTTTTTATTTTTTTTATATTTTATTTGTAGTTAGCACTTTGGAGTAAAGTTGAATAGAATTTTTTTTTTTTCTGCTTTTATTTTTTTTTTTTTTTTTTTTTTTAGTTTCCCTTTATTTTTATTTTCTTCTCACTATTGACATGTTATTTTAATGCATGTGAATTTATTTTGCATGGTCTTTAATTTTGTTGTCATTCACATAGCTTTGAGGGTATATCAAATATATTCTTATCCAAAGTTCACTGTTCAAGATCTTGATCTGCTTTTCATTCTTGTGAATGTTAGGACTGGTTGAATGGTACTTTTGGTGTCTGGCTGTTTTATTTGATCTTAAAATCTTATTGTAGTTCGTTAGACCTCAGTTTATGTTTTTATGTGTTTTTTTTTTTTTGCATTTGCTTTCTGTGAATCTGATGTAAAGGTGTTTATGGAGATGTGCAGCGCGTGAAGATTCTGTACAATAAGAAAGACGGTGCGCTTATACAGATGGCTGATGGAAACCAATCACAGCTGGGTAAGAATTGTTTGTTGTATTTTTACATGTATGTATGTATGTAATACATTGCTGGCCTTTTTCATTAAGGTGTGAATAACCAAGCACCGGAGGTATATACTGGGGGGGGGGGGGGGGGTCATGGGTAACATTCCCACTATACGGGGTGGCCCTAGCTTACTCTCTAACAACTTTGGGACCTACTGATGATATCTACGTCTGCAGCTAGGAGTCATGTTGTCCTCTGCTTCTAGAGTATATACCATCATCGTCCTCTTTTAGAACCTTCTGGTGTTGCTTGATCCCTTGCCCCCTCAGCTGAGGTTTTTACTATATTGAAGACCTTTGAGCCCTTGCGTTTTGCGGACTCTGATCACAGAGGCCACAAGCAAGCTCCTGCGCCTTATACAGATTGTGTATTTGATTTCCTGCCACCTTGGCTGCTTCTAAGTCATCAGCCACAGAGACTCTAGTTTTGAGTAGCTTCCATCTTTGACTAATGAGCATCCCACTGAACAGTCAATCTTCTTCTGTTACTTCAAAATTAAGACACCATGGTGGCTCTTATTGATGGAGTTCATCCTTCTGGAAGGAACCTTTTCTGGATTTACATATTTAGACCAGCTTTGGTCTGCAGCACTTTCAAAGGTCAGGTTTCTGCCCTCTCTTTCTTGTTCCAGAGACCATTGGCCTCATACCCCCTTTGTTCAAGCAGTTCCTTTTGTATCACTCCCCCCCCCCCCCCCCCCCGTTTGTCCTCTTAACTCCTTGGGGCCTGAATCTGGTTCTCTCTGCTCTTTAGAAACCACAGTTTGGCCCTCCCTCTACGCTCTCACAAGGTGGTACTTCATATAGCCATCATCTGTGAGAGGTGTCAAAACTGGCAGCCCTTATCCTCTAAGAATCCTTTTCTAGTTCTGCATAGGGACAAGGAGGTGTTGAGGCCCCTAGATTTTCTGGGGGGGGGGGGTTTTTCTATCTTTTCTGAAGATACTTTTTTTCTAGTAGCAAGATTGAGCATATGATCTGTAATATGACCTTGATAGCACAGGACAAAACTCCTGTGCTCAAGGGCATACTACAGGCCAGGATGTTCTAGGTACCTATAATACAGCCTATTGAGTCAGCAACTTACAGGTCCAGAGCCGAGTTGCACATGCTGCTGGAAACCAATCCCTAAAAACCCTCTTCAGGGATGTTCCTGCTGGAGGGACGAAGTTTGTATATGTTTGATGCCCTGCGTAGGGCTACTGTTACCTATCTAGACTAACTTGGGGCACAAGTTACTAACTACTCTGGCACAGCAGCAGTAATGGTGTATGTCAGAAGGGGGGTGGTATGGTGCCCTCTGTGTGTTTGATGACGTCTTGTGTGTCTGTGCATGCACCAGCACCATGTTACATGGATCCCAGGCACAGTAACATATGCGGTGAGCTGCCTGAACCTATACTGCAGGGGTATGTTGGCTTGCAATGCTCATTCTGTGCCTCCAGCCCTACACAGCAGCATTGCTGCCCTCTTCAGGCACAGCACGTATTTGGACGCTTGTGAGCTATTGGGGGGTGATCTCCACAATGGTGTTCTGACTTAAATTGGGTACACATACCAGCGGGTTGAATGGGGGGGGGGGGGACTGACAGATTCTCACATGCACAAGTGATGTTGATGCAAGGATCTCTCCCACTGTTCTTTTGTACTCTGACAGTGGGGACCCTACATTTGTTCAGATCAGTGCTTGCAGCCAATTGTATGCTAGTTTTCCACTATGACCACTGGACAATGATACACATGTACCAAAATGTTTATGGTTCCTACTGAACCAGCAGATTTTCAGTATGTGTGTCCAGGTTTTAGACTGACACTCAGCTGGGAGGCTGTTTCTCTCTCTTCTCAGGAAGAGAAATCCAAAATCCCTCAGTTTGATAGGGAGGACCCCCCTATACAATTCGCCCTGCAGTGACTCCCTAAAGGGTCATATGAGTTCTGAAAGCCTGCCCTTATCTGTTATTTCCACTGTTTGAGGGGCACAATCCTCCACTTCCTTTGTGTCAAGACAGGAATTTCCTGCAGCCATATCTGGACTGAATTATCAGCTCTCATGGGTTCTCACTGGCTTGGAACACCTGGGATGCAAAGAGAGTGGATGTGGTGTTTGATGTATTTCCTCAGGATGAAGAAGATGGAAGCTGTGGAGTATTAAGAATTCTCTTGGTGGGCTTTCCGGCAGATGTGATATGTACTAACCTTTTAAGTTTCCGCTGCCGGAATCATCCTCTAAAGCAGCCTTTTTAACATAGAGGAACCCTTGAAGTAACTTCCCTGGTCTCAGGGAACCCCTGCTTATAAGTACACTGTGCTCATGGCACATTAGTGGTATGGTCACTGGGAATAATACTTCTTACATTTGTGATCATTGGGAAGAATCCCCCCTTACAAATAGTTAAGATCAGTGTTGTCAATGGTTACTTATCTAAGAGGCAGAAATGAGTCATTGCTCAAGGAATCCCTAGCAACCTTTGGAGGAACCCTAGGTTCCACTGAACGCTGGTTGAGAGAGGCTGCTCTAAAGTCTCTTGTTTTGGGTCACGGGAGCCGCCAAAAATATTCACAAGTTCTTTCCAATGCCACGTAAGCATTTTGCTTACCAGTACTCCAGGTGGAGAGGAATTCAGCAAAAATAGGTTTTCTTTGGCAGTTTTATTTTCATGCAGTCCTGGTGAATGAGGTCCCAGTCTTTACAATACCACAGAGAAATATTTAGAGGCCCTTTTTAAGGTATCCTTATCTCTAATAAAAGCGGCTCTTCTGCCAGCGGTAGCTGCAACGGTAGATTGCAAAGCCTTTAAAATCTGGGCAAAGTGCATGCCAGAGAATTCAATAATTTTAATTCCGGAGAATCAGATCTGGAAGATCCTGGCATTTGAAAGGCCTTCGGAGAGCATTTAGTTTCTCAGTTGGATGCCTTAGAACATTTTATGTGGTAGCTTTCATGGGTGGATACGATGTCTTTTCAGAGAACGATTCTTTTGCTCAAGTGTTGGTTGGTGAAACTTCCTTGCAAATTAAGAGGCTGCTCTTTGAGGGACAACACTTTGAACCTTCCTTGGATGCCGCCTTCTACAAGGTGACCATGGGGAAATGCACACTCTTGCCCCTTAAGAAAAAAAAAGCAAAGGTGACCAGTCAGCAACCAGTGACTCCTTTTGGAATCCAAGAAAAGTTCCTTTCATAAGCAACTAGTACAGGCTCGAGGCAGAAGCCCACATCACAATTCCGTAAAAAGAGCTGGACTCCTAAGTCCTCTGGTTTTGCATTTAAATCATTCTCACAGTGAGGGGTCACCCCCACTCACATGGGTGGGAGGATATTTATTGGCCAGGCCATAGTGATCTGGGGTTAGGAGTCACAGGTAACTGGGTCTGCAGCTGGAGTTTTGCTGCTGTCCTATTCTATGCTTTATGCTCTCAAGGGTATCTTCAGAACCATTAAAAAGAGACGTTTTCTTTGCTGCCCTGGAAAGACTACTGTCCCAAGGGGTCAGCGGCTATGCTGGCAGAGAAGATTCATGGCTTTTATTCCAAACTGTTCACAGTTCCCAAGTCAATCTGAGACACATGACCCGCTCTGGACCTCAAGGCTCTCAGCAAGCTCTTGGAAATACAAAAATTCAGGATGGGCTCGACCCAGTCAGTGATTGCTTTGCTTCATCAAGGGCATCAGTAGATATCAAGAATGCGTACCTACACACTTGATTTTCCGACCTCACCAACTGTTTCTGCGATTCACAGTGGAGGATTGCCATTATAAATTTTTGGTGTTTTCAGCCTGTTCACAGCCCCCAGGGTGTTTACCAAGATGTTGGCTCTGGTTCTGGGATTGTTGATAACCCAAGGTACCCCCATTGAGAGGTACTTGGATGACCTGCTCTGTCAGCTCTGATGCCGGCGACCGGTGATTACCGAGCATCTCCGATAGGTGGGAAAACTGTTAGTAAACAAAACAGTTCTCCTCCCTGTCAGCTCTTGCACACTGCTTTGCAGATCGCCCCACTTGTTAACCTCTTCCTGCCCGGTGCCATTAGTACAGTGTCAGTGCTTTTTATTAGCACTGATCACTGTATTAGTGTCACTGGGGATTGCAGTGATACCAGGTCAGCTCCCCCTAGTGTCAGAATGCCCGCCGCAGTCCTGCTAAGTCTCTAATTGCCGCCATTACTAGTAAAAATTAAAAAGAAAAAAAAATCCCAGTACATGTACAGCCATTTGTAAACGCTATAACTTTCACGTAAACCAATTTACATTTATTGGGAATTTTTTTTTTTTTTTTAGTAAAGACATTTAGTAGAATACATTTTAGCCTAAATTTATGACGACATTTGTTTTTTTTTTTTTTTTAATTTTTACTGGACATGTTTAATAGCAACAAGTCAAAAATATTGGGTTTTTTTTTCTCAAAATTGTCGGTCTTTTTTTTTTTTTTTTTTTTTTTAGCACGAAAATTAAAAACCACATGGGAGATCAAATATCACCAAAATACAGCTCGATTTGTGGGGGGGAAAAGGACAAATTTCATTTGGGTGCAGCGTTGCATGACTGCGCAATTGTCAGTTAAAGTAATGCAGCGCCATAACGCAAAAAATGGCCTGGTCAGGAAGGGGGGGTAAATCCCCTGGAGGGCAAGTGGTTAATTAAATGGTCTAGTGTCATTTTTAACCTGATTAACTGTGTAACTATATGTCTGTTGGCCTTTGCAGCTATCTGGTCCTAAGTTGTTTCAGGCGTTTAAAGTGAAGAATATTGTATCCAGGGACAGTACACTGTATTTTCGTTCTTTGCCTCACATTGCCGTCTTTGCCCATGTGATCTACGCTTTTTCCCCTTTGAAGCTCCCTCCTTGTCTGCTCCGCTGGATCGAAATGTGGGCATTACGGTGATTCCATGGCATCCTACTGGCCCAGGAGGACGTTTTTACTCTGACCCTGTCAGGCTCCTGCCAGATTCTCCATGGGCCCACTCTGATCA